GTTATATATTATTTTTAAATGGTAATTAATCATTAATTATATTATTATAGCAAATAATTATCGTATAACGCATATATACAAGATATCCCACTAAAAGTGGCTATCCCCTTTTATCTTTTAAACTAAGAGATGAACCGTAACAAATAATATATATATCAAACAGAGAGGTATGCATAATTTTTTTATAATAATGTGAATATTTCGATATTTGAAAAAAATTATAGTGCTGTTTGAAACGAATACAACGGTGTACGATATAATGTAAAAATATTTTACATATTATACGAGTTTTATCAACTTGAAATATCGCGGACGACATCTACCTTTTCATTTTCGGCCCTGCGATATGGCCAACTTCTGATTGAATTAAATGATAACATGACATATGTCAATCTCACTGATCTCTATAGAGATCAGTGATCAATACAAATAATTGAACCGCGAATGCTGAATTCTGAAGTTGAAGCGGACAAGGTATCCTACTAGCATCACGAGTGGCCGGCGACATTATTTTGCGATTGTTCAGTATAGAAGAGTGTCAGATCCGTGGGCCAGAAAGCATTTTCAGGCCGTATCTCGGCTGTAAAGCGATATACTAGAGGAACAAGGATAGCACGGGATTGTCGCTCCTTGTCTAACATTATCTCCCAACAATCGCATCCGTGTGCTCAACATATCGGTGTGTGTCTACACGGACACTACACTCATACACGATGCAAGAGAGACAAAGACAGATTTTATATCGAAGAAGTTATATTAATTTCTTCATGAAACTTTTTTTGATATATTCTTTATATAATTACGCAGTTCTGTATAGAGCCGGATTTTGCATTTTGGCTCTTAAAAATTTATAATAAATAAAATACAGCTCATGGCCAAACTGTACCTAATCCGCCATGAGCTGTACCTTTTTTATCAACTTATGAAATATTATTTTAACTCTTTTTTTCCAGAAAATAACTCTGTATAGGACTGCGAGCGACCCTACTGATTACAAATATCACAATTTTAATATGATTCTCTTTATTTTTTGGCCGTAATATGGGAGAAGCGAATCCGTAATTCACGGCTATCCGCAAAAGGTCTCCATCATCTCTCCTGCCGATTAATGACCCTCGCACACTGGACGCAATGACCGATGAACGATGGGTGATATCTAATGAGAGCTTTGTTTTTTCGGAAAACCAGAGCTCTCATTGGATATCGCCCATCGCTCATCGGTCATCGCGTCCAGTGTGCAAGGGCCATAAGGTTATATAAAGTAAGTTTATATAAAAAAAGATTAAGTCATATATTGAAACTGTGTATGTCATCCAAGAACCCATGATGCATTGCGAAAGGCCGCGAGAGGCAATAACAAGTCTACCTTATTTGACATCTCTTTTCAATATTTAGAATCTCTTTTATATAGCGACTGCGCACACGTCGATTCTTTGCAATGCATTATGGGTTTCGGGATGCTTCTGACTTAACCTTCCTTTATATAATCTTACTGCCGATCTTTATAGCGTTTTCGAATGAACGGGTTAGGGCCAATTTCACCAAGCTCAGTTAGATTAACCGACGGTTAAAATTAGCAGGGTTCCAACTGAAATGATAAGAATGCTTGGTTTTCCTTCACCTCTATTTTCTGTTGGCTACCCTGCTAATTTTAACCGTCGGTTAATCTAACCGGACTTGGTGAAATTGGCCCTTAA